TCATGTGGCAAAGTTCCGAACGATTGGGTAGATCAAGTTTGCAGAAAAGTTTCATGTACGATTCACTTCTCAGATACCACTTTGCACATGACTTTAATTCAACAAAGTATTTCGAAAAGCGCTCACGAAAAACCTTTAGCACATACGGAGAAACTGTAATCGATGCAGAGGGAAGAGTGGTCCGGACAGATGTCAGCTCTTCAGCGATAATCCGGAGCTTTTACAGTAATCTAATCGGCAGTCCCCATTAAATACGCAATGCGCGTAATAACGGAGCCGTAGGTGCGGTCGGCGAATGAAAGGGCCGATAAGGGCCGTCGAAAGAACGAGAGTGGAAAAATCCGAGATGTAAATCGACAGGAGGCGGAATATCGGCGACGAGGCCAAGGGAGGATTTATATTAGGTCGAGGAATAAGTTCCTGCCGATTTGATAACGTTGCGTTACTTTAACCCTTTTAGTGCCGGGCGAAAAAGAGGTGCTTATGCGAAGATAACCGGCCGAATTTTACGATTTTACTAGGATTTGGAAAAAGGCTCATAAAAACCAAACGAAAAGCAATGTTTACATAATTCAAAAAGCAGGGTATTGAGGACAAAATAGAGAATAAAACAGTGACGCTAATTTTTCTATATTCATTGAAAATTACATAAATAACAAGGGTATAAGTGATCAAAAAAAAAAATAAAAATTGAGTTCTCTGTTTCAAAACGTAATTGCTCATAGGAAAAGTCATCTTTTTATCATAAACTTATATAGACCGTTTATTGCAAAGTATATACTTTAAATTTCCAATATACTTTTTAACAAAATAAGTAATATTGCACATGAAACATAAAAAATAACTCCAAGGCACATGGTAGGCGCCGGACGGATTATCTCATCCGAAACAAGAAATTGTTATAGGTTATAGGTTGTTATAGGTAGGTTATAGGTTGTTATAGGTGTTGTTGTATTGTTATTTTAATTCTCTCGTAATGAAATTAGACTGTTTATAACGTATTATAAATTTATTTTGAGATAGAGATCTTTCGCAAAGCGAATAGTAAAGCGCTACAAGGTGCGGGCCGATATATCGGCTCTGACACTAAAAGGGTTAATAACGTTGCGTTACTTTAAAAACGGTGGGAACTTATTCCTCACCTTAATATTTCCAACGGTTGGTCAAATTATTGGTTACACGTGTTAAATTTGGACTACGAACAATTTAAAGCGGCAATACTTTTAAACATACAGTGGATATATGAATTATCAATTTTGTCCGAAGAATAAGTCTCACAAATTACGTAATGTGTATTGAAAAATAAAACTTCAAACATTTGTACAAGTGTATTCAGTGATACCGTGAGAATTTTTTACAAAGAACCCCCCTTGGCATCGATTACATTTTCAATCGATTTTGGCGTGCCTTGGATGCATTTTTTGCATCATATTTCGGTACTTGGTCATGACGCCAAACTTTTAATAACGCGACGATCAATTTCGTTTGATCTGTAGTTTTTTTCCTCGTAGATTTTTCTCTCGGGAAGTTCCTAGGCATCCTCGATGGAAGTATTGGTATTGTCACTAATTAAAACAAAGACGATATTGTGGCATTAAAATATAAATATCCGTGGAGGAAGGAATAAGTTTATGTGTAGTTACAAGGGTTGAGACTGAAACGTTATGGTGTGACTAATAAATTAGCCCCCCGACTGTAAATGTCCGCACTGATAACAATCGATGGAAATTTCCATACATTTATACGCACCTCATAACTGAGGTTTCACCTAGAAAAACGTGAAGCGATAAAATTAGAGAGTAGAAAATGTATAAATACCCGTAACATTTTACATTTACCGTATCAGCGCATTAAATGTAACGTTACGTTATAATTTTCATTAACTTAACTTGGATGATTGATGCGACATTACAGAGACAACATACTTTTACCGCAATTTGTGGCATAGAAATAACCAATGATTGAATATGCAAATTTCCCGGGTCATTTTTACCAGTGCGGAACTTTGTCGAGCGCTAGGCTGGAGAGCTTTCCAAGACCGTGCATTTTATCACTGGAAAGCTCTCCGGGTTTCCTTCTTCGGGGTGCCGAAGAAAGGCTTTCTCCGAGTTCCTCGAGTTTGACGGGCCACCAGCTTCGTGGCCGACCATTCCTTGGTTCGATTCGCCCCGCGCCTCTCTAGGTTCTCTTATATGGCCCCGGCCTGGAGTTAACTCGCCCAAGAAGGCGCAAGCTCATTCGACTTTATAAATAATAAATTCGCGAGACGCGCGAGAGAGAAGATGGCTGGTAATAAAGACCGAGCAGTGGGAGGCGAAGTGACGTCCTGTGTCGCGGAGTCGTAAAACCGTGCCCGGGCTCCCCGGGCTTACACTCTTATTAAAGCCTCGTCCTGCATATTGATGGTTATTGATCATCTTTCGTAACTCGGAGTTTTTACGAGCCGGGGACCGAGTGTCCTTAAAAATATCGGCTACCGGCTATGGGGTCTCCTCGGGTCCTGGGGACGAGCCCTTGGCTTCTGGGACCACGTGCTTCTGACGTCTCGGGCTTGACGTTTCCACTCCCACCGGCATGTGCCCATTAGCCACCGCAGGTCCTTCTTCGCTCCGATCCGTATCCCCGATGACTGATTTATTGCCGAAGACGGACAACCTTGTGGTCGCGATTGTCCCCTGAAAATGGGCAGGCGAGTTCCCGTCGTTTGGGGGCCTTCGAGCCGGAGGATTATCGGTGGATACGCTACGATTACTGGGAATGTATTACAATGGCTGGACATTTGTATTACAGTTATTAATTGCTGAACAGATACCTTCTATACCTTGACGAAGGGTGGATGGACGTTCCTTTGTCCCTGGTTTATAAATCGCATTTGATCGCACAAATATATTTCTCTTTATACATATCCTCCGTCTCTGGTAAACATTTGATAATTATATTAGTTTTCGCCATGAGTGCATTGTTCGTTTAGAAGATCTATTCAATGGATTGTTTATAATGTTCCTGCTGGTCCGGTTAATTGTCGGCATTTTAAAAAAGATTCTCGGAAAATAATTTGGAATTGAGATAGATGGGTTAAAATTCTGAATTCTTCAGACCTAATGAAAAGAATAGAAGGTCTGTGCTGTAAAAAAAATGTAAAAACCAACGCTACGCGGTGTTCCCAAGCGGTCACCCATCCAAGTACTGACCGCGCCCAACGTCGCTTAACTTCGGTGATCGGACGAGAACCGGTGGAAAGACGTGGTATGAGCGTTAGTTATGAATATATGTTTTATTTATAGTAGAGATACAATAACTTAATTTTAATGATTGAATAAAAACATACAATGTAAACAAAAGTTCTATGTGAGGAAAACATTCTACAAACCGTATCTGAAGGCATGTGTACAAAAATGTAACAAACTAGCATTTCGTCGCGATTTTGCTTGCGATATGTGGAAGTAGAATTCAAAATGTATAAATGTTTGTTATTTAATCAATTTCTATATTTAAACTCCTTTTAACCCACTTCAAGGTTGGTTAGAGGAAATCCTGAAATTGGTTTGTTTATAAAAGCATTTGAATGAGTACATCTTTTAAATAAAAACCAAGTCGATAATTCAGCGAGCTTCAGATATATTAAGAAATTTATAAAATTACGTTTACCCCTTTTCACCCTCTTAGGAGTTGAATTTAAAAAATCATGATGGAAAGTCACGATGCTCATACAGTATTATTAAAATGTCGTATCTCCTACTATTTTAACAATGTTTTTCTTTCAACTGTTTATCGGTTGTTGCAAATTATGGTACCGAGGCGTACTGAACATTTGAATGTAATATATTTTCATCGACAAAACAGGCGATCGATTGTAAAATCAGAGAATGCCGCAAATAATCTACTAATAAATCTTTTCGTTCTCATTTTATTGTGCTTTCGTCTTTCATTGCAAATGCGTAAAACTAAAAAATGATAATAATATTCTGTTAATACAAAATTTAATACTTATTGTTAGTTTCCATTGACGTATCCACACAAGTGAGTGTAGCTTCGCCATCTCGCGGACGCTCGAAGAATTACGGTTAGTGAGCAGGGTACGATAACTCATGAATTAAGGTCAGAAAACTGTATTACCAACACTTGGATTTACCTAGAAAGGGTATTTACGTTTTGCGTATTCGAAGTTTGGAACCTTGTTTTGGGCGAGAAATTTGAAGTTTTTTGACATGAAGTTGATATTATAGATGTTTATTTATTGATACTTCTTAATTTGTTTAACTACCGGTAAAATAAATTTGCTCCATTGTTAACAGATGCAACCAAATTGAATGCCAAAAGGAATATCTGTTTATTCTTATGTAAGGAAAAGTAAAAATCATACGCGACATGGCTCGGCTTACATCCGCGGTTAGGTAAGCCTCGGGAGTTTTTTTGAAGCATTCGACTCTTACGCATACTCGCTATGAGGGTCGACACATGCATGCTCACGCCTCGACTCGTAGCTTGGCGCTTGGCTGGTTGGGACGCGCGAATATTTCTAGGAGCGATCGCATTCACTCAGATTCGTTACATGTAGGTTCCGTACGTGTACACCGCATGCCCAACGCTCCGCATCTGCATCCAATTACAGTGCCAATCGGTATTTCAGAGTATGATTGTATCTAGTGTTTAACGTCTTTCTGTCGGTAAATGTCAGTGGGTAACTGCTTTTCGGCTCTGCGCTAGATCAACCAAACCAGACTGGACTCTACGTTTACTGACGTATCGCGCCTTTCGATGCCTCAGCTCCCGAGAGGGCAGCACCGCACAATAGTTCTGAAATAGGAGGTCTGGCTACTCTCATCTTCTCTCTGCGCTGTAGAGACATGAAGTCCCGGTTTCAAGTAATTTACATCGCTTACAAAACTCGTGACGTAAATATCTAGTAATTTACCTAGGGTATTTTACTTACCCAACCGTGGTGGAACAATCTGGTTCCATGCATTCCATGTTCCACGACGTAAATACCTAATAATTTAACTAGGATATCTTACTTACCCGACTTACCCAATTGTGGTTGACACTAGTGGAATAATCTGGTTCTGAATTGTTCTGAATACCGCAAAAAATTGAGATAAATTTGATAAATGCGTTGATAACTGTAGTTTTGTGTATAACGTGTAATTATTTATAATTTATTGATCATGTCAAAAAGTAACGTTCTTGAAGTCGATGAGTATGCATTGTGGAGAAATCTCTTACCGGTACGTACAATTTACATCTATTTGAGGTTAATTTTGTTATGAAAATGTAACGTATCATTCTGGGTGAGTTTACATATTTTGACGTTTTATAGAAAAGTGAAGAGCAAAAAGAATTTGAGGAGCTTCTAAAACTTTCAACTCCTTCTGATTGTCCTTCCGTGAAAGTACGTCCATTACCTGGTAATGTATCAAAAAATTGTTTATATAAAAAAATGTCATTAATGCTTTATATCCGAATTCATCCTATCTTTTGTTCTATGCAGGCATTTGCATAAAAACTAGAACGGAAGATGGTAAGAAAGTATTCATAAACTTGTGTCAGACATCTGAGATTCCTGAACCGAAAGATATATCGGAAGACATGTTATTTCAAGAAAAAAATCTGGAAGTTTCTGATTATGTGATACCAATGAGTATTGGCCAGGAAAGATTAGAAACTGATAAAGGTAACATTGTTTTTAATTAAATGAGTTACTTCTCTGGTGAAGGAATTTTCTTTAAGGTTTTGTATTAATTGTTAATCGCGTACAAGTTATATTCTTCACATTTCAATTTTTATAAGATTGTTGTTAATTATTAAATAGTATGTATTAATGAGTTCCTTATAATTAGATGGGAAAAACTGTTCAACATACGATGTAGCTATTAATTCAAATTACTTTCAAAAATGCCAAAAGAAAAAGATGTTCTTAGTGTTTACGATAACAGCTGTGATAGAGGCAATATCACAAAAGTATAATAAAACTCTGAATGAAAATTACATTATTCTTAAGAATAGAAAGGTAAAATTTAAATATTTATACAATTAGAGTACTTGTAAACAACATAAAGCACTTTAGAACTTTAAGTTTCTATCAGGTTATGGGTAATATACAAGACCATAGAATCGAGAAACGAGAAGTTAGGAAACCCGAAGTAAAGAGGCCTTTAATAGAAGAACTTCCAAGTGATAATAAGAAATCTGAAAAGAATAATGAAGATTTAGCATCGTTAAGTTATGTAATCCTTCGAACCCCTAAGGAAGGAAAAGCAGAACAGTTAATTGGCCGATTTAAGATTCACAACTCAGTTAAGTATTACAAATCAGGGATACTTTTTATGATAATGTTCTCATGTGTACTAATTCTTTAGGTTTCTCCAGAAGACATCACCGTTTATGTAGGTGAAGATCGCATAATTGTTAATGCTGAAAAAGTTGGATATTCGGTTGACATCTTTGTTCCACACTCAATTATATCAGAACAAGTCGTTGCATTAATGGATAAGAATATTGGGGTAAGTGTTTTGAGTTTTCTTTTGTAAAGAACGTACTGTTATGTAATAGTAACTTACTTTTATATCAATTCCAGATTTTGCAATTGAACATGCCTACTCGATGTTAAGCCTTTTATTACTTAAGTAAAATAGCAATAAATCGGATTTTTGATGTTTTCTAAATTATTTTACTAGGATCCCTGTATATCTACACTTAATGTAATTATTTGGCATCCTGTAAACTTTATGACAACGTTAACAAGTACGTATAAAATAACAACTCGGAGTACATTACGAAATGGCAACATTGCAATTATAAGCATCCCAAGCAGGATGCATTGCTAATTAAAAGTATCATTACATAATAGTTAACATTTTTTTACTGCACTATGTATTAAAAATTACTTATTTAAAGTAATTTTATAGATATTGTTATGAAACATAAAAGAGATGTACAAAAAAGAAAACAGAATTTCATCTAGAAAAGTCTTGATAGTATTTGGATTATCTAAGACGACTTACATTATCAGGACCAGTTGGGTTTGATATAAATTACCAAGAAAGTATATGTAAAAGTTAAGTTGTTTTACAAGGATGAATACATAAACGTGGTTATTGCTGATCTCAGTTCACGACAAAAGACGATTTTCTTCCTGTCTCTACATTTCCGTGTAAAATGTTGGCCGCTCTATACCGATCATCGTAAAAACGTTTGGCAACAGATAAACGGTATTAAATCCTATCATGAAGCAAGCTATGTACTTATAGACTAAGTCAACCAGGACTTTGTTTCTATTTTCCAAGCAGTCTTGACTCTTCATAAGCTCCTTGGAATTGACTCTTAATATGGCACACATAGTAGCATAGCCCAGGGATTTGCAAAGAGCTTTTGTTGCCATTACGCAACAAAACCCTAGTACAGTTCTAAGTATTGTATTACCTAACATTGAATACGAGGGCCATATAATGTTGTATGGTGGTGGTTGCAGTGGAGTGGACAATGCTCCAGTCCTGTAATTGAGCCATGCTCCCACGTGAACACCAGTTGTAACGGCAACGACCATAGTTGTATCACCTCTGTTTAAAAAATCTCTTCAGTATTTTCTGATAAGGCAAATAATGTGCATACCCGTTCTATGTACTTACCTCGTGGGAGTCCATTTATCACAACATGGATAGTACACTACGGTAGCAATACTAATTGCAATTAGAATTGCCAGAGCCCAGTCCTTTGTGAGAAAGTAATAGTCCGCTGCATCCACCAATGGCACTAAAGGAACCATTAATAGAATGGCTAATATCAAACCTACTATGACATCTAATACGGTGTGCATACCCAAATACAGTCGACTCATACAAACTAAAGTACACCTGCAAAATTCAAGATTAAATGAAATGTTTGTTTTTAAATAACCTATCGTATAGTATTAAAGTATGAAATGCTTACCACAAAGTAGCAACTACAAAACCTATAGGGAATGGGTAAATGTATCTATTTGTAGTAAATAATACTACACTAAAAGGAATCGATACACTAATCATTGCGTGAGTCGATGGCATTCCGTACTCTTGAGACCATTTTTGCTGTAACCTGTATGCTGGTGGACAAGCAGGTCTAGGCCAACATATTATATCTTTTAAGGTTTGACCTATGGAATTAAAGTCAATATCAAAATTAAGTCAATGCCTAATAAAAGTTTAAGTATAATTTGAGTTATCTATAAAAATTAACCATTTCTAAGACACAAGGTATCTAATCTTACTAAGTTCAGGCAAATACATAACCGTTGACTCTTATATAAAAAATTTGTACATTTGGTTAATTAAATAAATAGTATTTCATTTCCGATCTTACATATTTCAGAATTTGATAGGAGATAAATGTATTTTTGAAATGGTTTGCTTTTGGAACATAATTCCTTTCCATTTAACATGATCAGTCTTACCGATAGTCATAATAATAGCCCAAACTAGAACAACTCTTCGACCAACAGCTCCATCGATATTCCAAAACCAGAAAGGAATAAACGAGGAGTAAAAAATTTCATCGCCCAATTCTGTGCCAAATAAAAATAAATAGTACCAAAAGTGATTAGTAATTAAAAAATTTGGCTGGTCTGAGTCAGATGTCGATATGGTCTCTTCTTCACTCGATGCATAACCCTCTTTTCGATTTCGTACAGTACTAGCCTTGATACGGCCATTTATGCTATTTGTATGCGTGTCATAGACATATCTACCTTTGTTTTCTTTTAAGTCCGTTTCATTGATACATAAATTTAAATTATCATTCTCACATTTTTCCACAATGCTCTGAGCTTTGTTTTTTATTGAAGCTGAAGTTTCACCAACATTTGATCGAACACCAAAAAACTCCTGTATTCTTGCAACTCTCCATGGGTCCTTTAGGTATTCTATGGTTTCTAACAGCATTGTTATAACTTTAATTATGAAACATGAAAACTAAATTCATGGTGCTCCCATAATTCTAGAAAATAAAAGGAAAGAATATTTATAATCAATAAAATATTTTAATGGATTACTCAGTGATTAAAAATCACGAAATGCAATAGATAATTCAGCATATCGTTAACTAATCGATCCAAATAACTTGAATAATTCAAACGTAAAAGTATATGAATCTTGAAAAATTAAAATATTTACTATCATTTAAAAGTTGTATTTGTAATAACAACCAACATTTCATTCAGTCTCGTCATCATCAAAATAGAATTAAAACCTGGCTAAGAATTACAATTTACATTTGTGTAAAACTGCTATACTTTCCAAAGTATTATACATTTGAGAGATATTACTGACGTTATTAGTTATCATAAGTATTGGCAAAAAGATGCTATAATACTTATTTACGTGCTGCCTTTGACAAAATTAATATCTGTTTTAAAACATGATTCAGTATAAAACATTCGAAATAGTTACTTTACGGTCAAAGAGAAAATTTTCCATTAAACCTTATTAATCGATGTGTCATGAATCTTCGTTGCAAAATTTAAATGCGAAACAATTTAATCAAAAGTTTCAGTGTCTCATCATAATTCTCTCAAAGGTACTTGCCATTTCTGCATGTGAACACAATTCGACCCGCGACTTTGAGCTGCTTTGAGCGAGTTTTGCCGCATTTACCATGACAGTTGTCAACTAGGTAGATGAGTAGCAGACGAACAAATTCCGTGCCAATCATAGCTGTAAGAACAGAGATGAGTTGGGAGATTGCTTACGGGCAGGATGGTGCGATCACATCCTGTGCTGCCCTCTGGTTTTGTACGTTAGCTTTCACCGTTTTTTGCCCCAAGGGCGGCGCCACGAATTTCTGATAGCAGCTCGCGCACTCGCGATGGCGGTACCATCTACCAGTCGCCGTTGGCGGCTCACGTACTCGTGATGGCAATACCATGCGGCAGGTGACGGTGGTGGCTTACCTACGCTTACCAATACTGCTCGCTTTTGATGGTAAGGGAAGAACACTCGTGACGCTCCATTTGACTTTATCTACTTATCTACTACTATTAAGTACATTGTTGCCTCGAGTCGACGTGATGCGGAGCCTTGGGGAACGCGTCGGTGTCGCGTACGGAACTCTCATGCAGCGAATCTGCGTGAGTGCGATCACTCCTAGAAATCTTCGCGCGTCCCAACCAGCCAAGCTCCAAGCTACGGGTCGAGATGTTGAGTATATGTGCGTTCGGCGCTACACTCGACGAGTATGCGTGAGAGTCGAATACTGCAAAAAATCCTCCCGAAGCCTACCTAACTGCGGATACAAGCCGAGTCATTTCGCGTATGATTTTTACATTTCTCCACTAGCGTTATCAAGCATTTCCCTATTAGCGTTTTCAAGCGTTTTTGAACGTTTCCGAGCGTTTCTCGATCATTTTCAGAGCGGTTTCGAGCGATTCCAAGCGTTAACGAGCATTTTTCGACCGTTTTTGAAAGTTTTCGAGCGTTTTCAAGCGTTATCGAGCGTTTTTCGACGGTTTTTAAACGTTTTCGAGCATTTCTCGATCATTTACAGAGTGCTTTCGAGCGTTTGTCAAACGTTTTCGAGCGTTTTCGATCAGTTTTCGAGAGATTTCGAGCGTTATCGATCGTTTATCGAGCGTTGTCGAAGGTTATCGATCGTTTTCGCGCGTTTTTCAAGTGTTTTTGTTCCTTATGGAAGACCGTACAGTGCCGTTGCGTGTTGTTAAGTGCACTAGAGTGCCGGAGAGTGCCGGAGAGTGCCGGAGAGTGGCCACAGAGTGCTGAAGAGTGCCGGAGAGTGCCGAAGAGTTGCCAGAGAGTGCCGGAGAGTTACCGCAGAGTGCCGGCGAGTTGCCAGAGAGTGCCGGAGAGTTGTCGGAGAGTGCCGGAGAGTGCCGCAGAGTGCCGTAGAGTGCCGGCGAGTTGCCAGAGAGTGCCGGAGAGTTGCCGGACAGTGCCGGAGAGTGCTGGAGAGTTCCGCAGAGTTGCCGCAGAGTGCCGAAGAGTGCCGGAAAGTGCCGGAGAGTGCCGCAGAGTGCGAGCGCGAAGATTTCTAGGAGTGATCGCACTCACGCAGATTCGCTGCATGAGAGTTCCGTACGCGACACCGACGCGNTTATGAGACGTGATTACATGTTAAGCAGTTTTGGTAATCAGAAATTCGTTGCGCCGCTCTTGGGGGCAAAAAACGGTGAAAGCTAACGTACGAAACCAGAGGGCAGCGCAGGATGCGATCGCACGACCTGCCCGTGAGCAATCTCCCAACTCATCTCTGCCCAACAGAGGTGCACATCTCTGAAATGAAATTTCATATTTAAGTACAGGGTTTCAAGTCTGCTCTACAGATGGCGCTGCGGCGTTCCCCGAGAATTCAAATTGAAAGTCATACAAAGTCAACAAACGAATGGTTTTGTTCGACCAGAGAGTTTGTGCTTTTAATAAGTGAATAATGTGAAAAATGTAGTTCTTTTAAATCATTCAAATGGAAATGTGAAGAGTGACATCGATAAGAAGAAGTGTGCCTCCTTGAAGCGGAAGCGGGCGAAGATAAACAGAGAGAAAATGTCGATGGCGAATTGTTCAAGAATCTCTCTTGTCCGATACACATAATATGCCTTTATTCTAACATAAACAACTAGATATAGTTACAATTAGTTGACACAGCGCGAATAATAAAAACGGTAGCTTTTGATTGTCGAATAGGCACTCAACATGCTTTTTGCGTATCGAGTACTCAAAACTCGCAGACGATTATTAAAATCACTTTGCGGGGCCCTTATTAATAATTACATAGTTAAGTACATGCGTTTGTAGACTGAAAATCTGTTTGGGTATATTTAGTTTATTGGACTGGCATTCTCGTCCTCGAGTGTGTAGAAAAATATCGAGGATGGCACAAGTACACGTATACTTAAGGGCCTAGTGCTTATAAAAATAGATGAGGTTTTACATTAATTTATATCGAACTGTAATGTATTTCCTTCCACTCCCTTGTGAGACCGTTCGTTGTCTCTTTTTGCAACTTCGACGCAGACACAAAAAAGTCGAGGGACATTAATGTTGTTAACTGTAAGGTAATCGTGATAATTACTTGCGGTATTCATTTCTTCTTTTACCTCCACGTCTATACAAGATATTGAGGATGGGTGTAAAAGGAAGATGCTTTATTAAACAATTAATTTCATCCCCGATATCAAAAAAGAAGTTGTATTAAACAGTAAACGAAAATGATGGCTGCTGTAATCTATGTATTTAGTCGCAATAATGAATACGATCACATCCTGTGCTGCCCTCTGGTTTCGTACGTTAGCTTTCACCGTTTTTTGCCCCAAGGGCGGCGCCACGAATTTCTGATAGCAGCTCGCGCACTCGCGATGGCGGTACCATCTACCAGTCNTCATCCCCGATATCAAAAAAGAAGTTGTATTAAACAGTAAACGAAAATGATGGCTGCTGTAATCTATGTATTTAGTCGCAATAATGAATAACAAATAATTATTATTAAAAACGAATATTGTTTATGAAATGAAATATTAAACGTACTCGTAATGACTACCAGGAAACTCCATAGATTTTTGCGCCAAATACATATAAGAAACATGTTTAATTAGATGAAGAGGAGTTTCTGATGTGATATTATTAAACTAATGTAATGAACAATTGCTTTGTTGTTTATATGTACTTGAGATTAGTATTTGTAATTGATGTCAATGCTGTTTTTTTGCAAGTTACATGATTATTATAAGATGGACCTGGTGTCTGAGCTTTTAGGGATTGGCGGATCTCTCTTTTATCAGTGTACATAATCACTATTCAAATTATAATCATATACAGTAATCAACCATTATAATTACAATAAATGAATGTAATAAATAATTTCATACTTATTTTAAGGACTATTAGTTATGTACTACTTATAGCTAGTATAGAAAATACACACCAGTTATTGTATCAACAGAGAAAATATGTAGTAACAATCACTGTAATTCATTACAATAGTAAATTATGTAGCGCATTCTCTTATCGCTAAATGTGTAAACGTAGGCGAAACTTATTCTGACATCCGAATATAATTGCTAAACTATTAAATAATTCCGAATTTACTTTGCAAAATTAAATTCTGTCCGTGAAACGAGGTAATTGTTACTAAATAGCTTTCTCTACTTGTTACTTACGTGTTTTGTTGTTAACTAATTACGGGTACAATTTATTAACAACTACTTATCTCAGTTACAACCACAACTTATTGGTCTTTATGTTTCTAATATTGAATAATACGTGGGTAACAATATTTTCCTACCTTTAATCGAGAAGTTCATAATATATTGTTACATTTAAGATTATACATTAACGTACTACTTAAATATATTTTTGTTTGCAGTAAAAAGTGGAGAGACGACCAGCGTCATTTCGGACGAATCCAGCGTCCATTGACAGTCAAAATTCGTAAGTAGAAAAGGAATGTTTAGGAATGCGAAATTCCCTTTTTTTTTTTTCAAACTTTCGTTCGCTTATTTGTGCAAGTGCAATCCCCTCATATAGGGAAATGGGAAGTATGAAAAAAATGTTGTACAAAATTTCAAAAAGATACCTGATAATAGATATATCCGTATTCGAAATGATTTCAAAGGTATTACAGATAATTATCATATATAACGTTTGAAGATATATTTTATAATTCGCAATTTATAAAAAGACCTATGTAAACCTAATATACTGGACAGCCACGTCGGTCAAAATATGAGAACTGGAAAATTATTATTCCTCCATCATTCGAAAACTTGCAATCTTAAAACCCATTCTTATTAAAAAAAATGACAATTCCATAATTGTGAAAAAAAAAACACTTCAGTGTATTAAATCCAGCCGAGAAAATGGAATGGCTTTTAAATTTAGTGTTAGTTTAATTTCAGCCCATATTTATGAAATTGTTATTGACGTTCTTTTTTTTAAATGGTTGCTGTACAGAGTGTTAAATGTACAAATTAATTAACACGTTCGGGTACTCTTTAAAGAGCGAGAGTACATCGATAGGTAGTTGTAGATGCACGTGTTCCGAAGTTATGTTAATAACGTTGATTACCATTATAATATGCGAGCACTAATTTATACTACTCATTAAGGGGTGCGTAAAGTGACGCACATTGATTTCTAATGCTTAATCAATTCACTGCATTGCACACAGATGGTGTGTTCCCATTATCTGCCATCGTCTCTATAAGAACGTTCTGTTTGCAAATTATGACGAAAATGATTGCACATTTTGTCATATTTTACATATTCTGAAATCCTGAGTGAAAAATGAATGAAAATATTATATATGAATCGTACTATTTTTTTTTTAAATTAATCGAAAGCGCTTGATATGCACTTAATATATATAAAAATTAAAGCAAATGATACAAATAGTAACGATTTGATATTGGAAATATTTTATGAGACGTGATTACATGTTAAGCAGTTTTGGTAATATGGGTCCACACATTAAATTCTTACAAAAATAATTATTAAAATCTTCAGTTCTGTGACAAGTATAAAACCAATAACAAAATGTACATGCATATACGTAATAACACACCGTTCAGGTATATTCTTTACCTTAAATTGACTTCTCAAAGAGTATGTGTATTATGTTAGCACTCATTCTAATATTTTTCTCAAGTTATTGACATTAAGATAAAGGATATTTGTTTACATATTATTTTTCAATGCTTGTCGTTTGCATAAAAGTATCGTCCGTTCTGAAATATTCTTTAAGTACTTTTTAAGTTATGATGGTACAAGTCTTATACAATTTGAATTTCATAAATATTTCTCCCTCATGAACGACATTTCGAGAGTACAGGAGATAAGTGTTTTAATAATTATGCTTCCACGTTAATTATCATAGAATAGTTTTTCCATCTATTCACATTTCCTTACGTGAATAATTTAGAACGATATTTTGTTGTATTGATATGTATAGTGCGTAGTATTGAGAGTCGCAGTTGCAAGATATTTTACATTTTGCTACCGATATCATAAAGTATGGAAAATATTAATTTATAATTAACGACATGTTCAGATATTTTGATGTCAAGTTTGCACAGATCGAAATGGGTAATTTTAAATAAGTCCATTTGCCAGATTTTGGACTCCTCACGTTCGTTTCTTATTTTTTATTATTGCGACTAGGAAAGAGCCCATTTCTTTATTACCTACACCCGATTATGGATTGTTTATCATCATTTTAACATATATTACTTAACTAAATCATTCTGAAACCGCCGCGATACATTTTACAAACAATAGAATCATTTTATAAAATTCTTCTCTGTAAGTTTCTGTCGTTTTCTCAACTTGGAAATTGATCTATTTAATTCGCATTCAAAATTAATATACGATCTGCCAAATGCCGAATATATAACAATCTGTCAATATAGGTTATTATGCTCCTGGAACAAGTTTCTAACGCACTTTCTCTATTATTTTATTTAATAAATTGCACCGTGTAAAATCAGTACTTAAGTTTCCACTTAAAAATATATCATATATCAAGGGTTATGCAGATGATTTAAAATCCCAAATAATTAGTCTCCAAGTTGACTGTCCTCTATACCACATTCCCGTGATTATTTATTGAATTTCGAAGACTACACCCCCGTTTGGCATTCAAAAATTTGCTCATTATTTCCTCTCATCGACAAGATCTTATTTAAATAAAAATGTTTTCAGGAGCGCCATGATGCACAACTCTTTACTTAACCCTTTGAAGACGGAGCCATTTCGACATATGGGCGAAATTCGTCTGACCGTGCAGGCAATATTGGACCAAACGTCGGGCGCCTTTAGGCGTTCTAAGTAGCCAGAGGGTTAATTCGCAACGTAGTAATGCTAATGATTCACACATCATCTACAAGATGTTTCCTCTTCCGTCTATTGCATTTGACAAAGGGCATTTTCCTTACTATTTTCCTGATTTTACTTTGACGCTTTTATTTGAATTTCAGAGAATTAAGGTCGCTTTTCCTTCTACAAAACGTGGAGGTTCTCGCAACTCTTGCTTTTGTTGTCGTTCAAGCAGATCTTACTGAAGATTTCTTTGGCACGATTCAAGCTCAAAGCCGTTTTGCTGTTGTGCAGCTTTGACAACATCTTCCCCTTGCTGCCTTGTCTTCGCAGTTTCTTGTCTCTCGTCTCTCTCAGTCGAATTTGCTTCAAAACGCCGACTAAAAGTTCGTCGACGTTATGTTGAATTCCGCTGGACGTTTCTATGAATTTGCACTCCCGCGATGTCGCTAATTGCGTGCCCTCTGTAAAAAGAAATCAACGGTTAATCAACAGCTTATTATTATTAAAGTAAAGGAGAGTTGGCAGTTTAAGCAAATAAAATCAACAAAAGAAATTGCATTTCAAGCACTTCGACTCTGCCGTGGCGTACAAAAAGGAGGTAATTATCTCAAAGTAAAGAAGAGTCTATTATTCAATATTTGCCTCTTTACAACGTTTTAAGGAACTCGTTTCTCTTAACTATTTTTTTGTTATCGTAACATTTTCGTGATGTAACTGACTTTAATACAGGAAACTTTAAAATTATTCATTTTTATGCAACGCGTTACCCTTTTCCGTTCATCTTTAAATAACTATGTGACAGTTAACTATGTAGTATTTAATTTATTCTTCTATTCATTCTCTATTTCAGATACATATGCTACTTATATACAGGATGTCGTTTTTGAGATTCCGTTCTTTAAACTCAAGTAACTTCTTACTTTTTATCCGATTTCGATGAAACTTCATTTTCTTTCGGAAAAATGACGTTATTTAGATTTTTATCGGACTATTTCGTCCAATTGGCGAAACATTCAATATGCAAATGGATAAGATTCAAACAGATATTTTTTCGTGTCGGAAGACATTTGACTTAATCAATTTGTTCAAAATGCTGCGAGTGCGACAATTCTAGATTCAATCGATTCCCTATAAAATTCTGATATCTTGTATTAAAAAATTACCCGATATCACGATGTCAAAATGGTGTTACTTATTACAGAAAAAAACCTATGACGTCAAAATGCTACATTTACAGTTTAATCAAAATAGGCTGAAAAAAAAATGAAAAGTTCATTCAAATTTAAGAAGAGGATTCTTAGAAAGAACACCCAGTAATTCGGAACAGTGTCTCTTGACTATATAGATAGCGATAACTCATTTTACTACATATTAACTGATTTCTTGGGTTATTCAGTAAGTTATCTTTTTTTTTATTTATTTATTTTTTTTAATTATTTAACGTCGCATCAATTGCTCTGGTTATGAGCGACGCACCGTTGGCTTGAATAAATTGTGTAGGTGAGTAAGTAATGATGGTTAGGTTTTAAGTTATTATCTTGTTTATTAGTCTATTATGCCTTCCTAACCAGAAGATTCAACTTCCTAATGAAAAACACTTCCTAATCAGTAGCAAATACTTTCACAGACGTTTGTTATTGAGAAAATTTAGGAATTTTACCAAATGTCTAAAAATAGACGAACGACGCTTTACAAACGATTAACGGAGCGAATGGACAATTGTGAACACGCTCATGAATAATTATGCACGTTCCAATCATGCACACCGTATATCCATATCTCGCCTCTGCTCAGTTCTGTATAAACGTTTGATCACGCAAACGATCAATCGTGCACAAACTCAATCTCGGAGACGATAATGGCGCCGTGGATAAAGCGCTACTTATTGTTAGTTCCTCGGTCGTAGAATGGAGTTACAGCCCTTTGTCACACTACGATAATGTCGCATGTCTGCATATAGTTAAATCACGTTACGCCCAAAGGGCTCCGAAGTACTTTGCGACTGAAAAGCCAACTAGTGTTTCAGGAAAATTAGAGGGCCCCTTTGAAGAATCATTAATCACTTACAAACTCAGCCCTGCACACAAAAAATGACGCAGAAGTAGTAAAGAACTAAGTTATTTATCCGTTAAATATTTGATGAATTTAATTATTTCCTAAATTGGAAATTTAGGATACTCTCTGGCGAAAAGCGAGACAAGATTCCGATTTTTCGAAGTTCGGGATGTTTGGACCAATCGAAGTTCCTTAACTTCTTCCCTGGTTCTTTAATTACTTCGAGAGGATGGATTTCCGCAGTTCGTGGTTGAATTAGTTTAAACGAGCTCTGCTGAAAAAGTTCGGGAAGAAAGTAGTCGGGTTTTATTTGAACACTTGGAATTTAAGAAAACATGGCTCGATTAAAAAAATATAGATTAATAAGTTCGTTTCGTACTAAGGTTGAGAATAATTATTGATGTTCATTATTGAAACACTGGATTAATTTAAACGAACTCCACTGAAAAAGTTCGGGAAGAAAGTAGTCGATTTTCATTTGAAAATTTGGAACGTAAGAAAGCATGTCTCAATTAAAAAAATAAAGATTAATAAGTTCGCTTCATTCTAATGTTGAGAATTCATGTGCATTATTTAAATACTATAGTTACGTAAACGAACCTCGCTGAGAAAGTTCGAGGAAACTGTACTCCGATTTCACGTGAAAATTTGGAATTCAGGAAAACATTCTTGACGTATAAAAAGGAACAGAAATCAATACGGTCGCTTTATTGTAAGGTCAAGAATAATGATCGATATCTTATTTGTTTAATAATATAGGGCTCGTGTAAAAGTCCTGGCTTTTCATTATTACTATCCACGCATAAACGCTATTTAGATATGTAATGAATAAATATAGACACATTTCACAATTTCTAAGTAAAACGGATAACGTCGTTCTCCGAAAGTAAAGGTTATGTTTGCCTGCATTGTTAGTACGGCGTTATCCGGAATGTAGTTTCCTTTTGTCACGTTGAGCGACAATATTGCGGACGGAATCGATAACGACCAATCATGTTGAGTGTGTAATGTGTTCCTCTTCATTAATTTTGCGCGAGCTCTTTATGCAGTTATTATTGTTCGACATATTTTTAGAAAGGCAAACCCTGTACGTTCCATTGCAGTTCCGTCTTGTTTCCGCAGAGTACGCGGAAATAAGTTTTCCCGGTTCGAAAATGGCAAAATGACTCCGATTGGTTCCGTCATCCCGGATTCCGGGATTCCGGGATGTAATGGGACTGACTGTCCTCTGTGTGCAGTTTAGAGGAAGCCACGTAATTTCCTGTCTCGGTACTCGGTTGAGGTACTCTCACTTTGTCATAAATATCAGAATTGCAAAATTGAAACTTTTGGTACCAAAGCTTATGTGCACCAATTGATACCCGGAGTTGTGATTGTGATTTTACTTACAAGGAAAGGATGAAAGGTGTACCTCATTGATATTAATATCTCTGACGTATGACTCGGTACTCGGTTGAGGTATTCTCATTTTGTCATAAATATCAGAATTTTTAGAAAGGTACTCGTTCATGAAACTTTTCTGCGAACTGGGTCGTTTCAAACTTTACAACATGAACATGGAGGTCATAAAGAAGGTCCTGACACTCATGAAATTTCATTTTTCAGAAAAAAATTTCAAAATATCCATGAACAAATTGTTAGAAAATTGAAATTTTAGGGGCGTCAAGACCTTTCTTATATCCTCCGCGTTTACACTGTAAAGTTTGAAAGGATTCACTTAACCCAGTTCGGGGAAAAGTTTCATAAACGAAACCCCTTTGACGCTACTTTTATATCACCTTAAGTATGATATATTGTTGGAATCGTGATTGAAATTGTATAAACTGATGCTGATCCGGTCGAGAAATAATCCATATACGAGAAAGGATATTGTCTATGTATGATAAACATTCTATGAGGTAATTTTCAATTTGTGCTTCCTGTTAATAATAAATCCGTGCTTAACCCAGTTTATGTGCATCGATTGACAGAGAACGTTACCTAGGTACAATAAATGATCTACGTAATAACCGTCACCATGTATATATTTAATCAATATTTATCAAGCTTACGTGGAGTGATTTGACATTCCCAGCACGGCAATTAATAATAATGAAAACATGTCCTGCATATGATTGAACTAATTGTTTCCACTTTTCATTCATCCGTAACTCTCTACTTTGAGAGCGTTTGGTCAAAGTCGTAGTTATAATATAAGTAACAAACCAAAATCGCGTATTAATTTGTATAAACATTTAGAACATTGATAAATCAGATAATAGATTTAGTGTGCCATGCATTGTAGGGCCGATTATTATTAAAATGGCGACTATTATTATTAAAATTTTTACCTCCGGTCGAAATGGTTCGGCTTCTGTGGAGGTCTGCTTTGTTTCCGACAACTATTACGGATCGCTCTTGAGTATAGTGTTCCCTCCACAGATAGTTCAAGGTCTCTTCAGCTACTTGGAAGCTCCCACGCGAGACTATGGAGTAGACGACGATGCAGGCATGTGGCTCGTAGGTGGACATGCAGTTTTCCACCTTGAAAGAAGAAAAAGGTGTGGATTATCTTCAACTTGGACGTGGTGAAACGTTGAGGTCGATTTCGACGTAAATCGGCTGGAAACTTACAACCCTGTGATATGTCGTTCTTCATAGGAAATCCCGATACGGAAAATCACGGAATGTCAAAGTAAATTTAAATAAAATGTATGCGATAACTGACTACATTTCTGAAGAAAGAAAATGCCACGAGAGTTATTTCCTATTTTTTTCTTAAAAATGAAATTTACAAAAAGGGAGGTAACTGTACGCCAATAATTATGATCGAAGTATAATTGAAGGATTAGAGGAGCGTTTAAGTATAACATTAATTTTTATAAACCGTATTGCCATTTCATTCTTTTTAATCATTTGTAATATCACGATTATATTTCCAATTATATGAGACAATTTAGGTTTGGAAATTCAATTAATAATTCATTTGTGTATGTGTAACTAACAGTTTAGAACTATTTCATCCGAAGAAGTGTTATGATAACGAAGTTGTAATTACGGTTATGAGATTTGAGAAATGATACGAGAAAAATGAACTGTAGGTATCGAGTGTCAACTCCTTTAGGGAAAATGAAACTAGTTTCCAATGTTTGGCTTGCCAATATTCATTCAGCAATTTCTGGGTGAAAGAAAAAAAAAATATCGATTCCGCAAACGAGACAGCGGAATTCACTTCACGTGCACGCCGTGAGATAATTAATTTTTCCTCGACCTCCTCGATAGTACATCGAGGAAATTTCACCCGGGAAATTGCATCAGGAGTGTTCTCGAGGAGTCTCTTGAGAATCACCGCACTTAGGCTCAATTTGCAATTTGTAATACGTCTGCAGGTGACAAAGTGGAATTGAACATAAATAGAAAAATAAAAAATCGAATAATGTCTTCGGCGTATTTTTGGATACATTGAAAGACATACTTCTAAATCATTTCTTTTATGTAAAATGCATCGCTGGGGATTACAAATGGCGATTACGTAGGAAGGCACAAAGAACGTATTACCGATCGCAATGACGAACAATGGGGTTAACATTTTATTCTTAGGCGAAAAATAATTTCTCATTTCCCTTGGATGAACGTAACTAATTGGTTATTGAACGGCAGTAATCAGTGGTTTTTGTTTACGGCTGAAAGATTCGTTGCCTGGAGATGCACCGAGCGGCATATTGATTTATTTTCTATAAAGATTGTTGCCTTTTTTCCTTCGGTTGTTCCCTCCCAATTTTCTTGAAGAAGAAAAATGCAGTATTCGTTTTCCAATTTAAAGAGGGTGATATGTAAATGTGTGTTACATGTGTATATTTAAATTTAAATGTGTGTGCAAACGAATATGTAAATGCAGTTTACTCTGAAATTGTTTATCAAAGCATTTTCTACAAAAGTTTTATTTAACTTTCCGCTCTACTCACCAGGGCAATTTAACTTTTATATCCTTATAATGTTCGTTCAAAGGACGAAAAACACGTTAAAGTTCCTCGACTTCTGCATAAAGAAGAAGAAAATCTGCGCTAAACCAAATACTCCGTAATTTGGATACTTTGAAAATTTAGAGTTACTTAGAGTACCAATTCGAATTTCCTATTTTAAAATGGAAACTAATAAAATCCATAACAAATTGAAGAAACATGTGCCGGAAGTTTTCCTCGGACACGTATACTAATTTTATAATACATTTGTAAATGTGCTTAACATACATGCTTCCTAATTTTTCAGTCTGGCTTAACTCGTTAAATTGATGAACACTGCATACTTAAAATCATCGTATACATTTACTTTTAGTACAACTCTGTGATCTTAAATTACATTTACAAGCATTTTGACAATGAATGACCTGTTCAGCTGAAGGGACTTATAGAGATCTTGAAGTATGCTATCAGAGCAATACACCTTATCATAACATGGAAAAGGGTGAATCCTGGTTCCCAGGATCGGGATCAGAATTTAGCGAGCAGGCTAGTGAATTCCAAAACCGATTATGTATCTCGCGATTTCCCCTCGTAGGTCCGTCACCGACATTCGTAATGTCAAGTTTCCTCTTCCAACAGGAAATCCGCGGAAATTCTCATTTCCCGCCGACCACCGTGTCGAGTTTTCCTCTCCTCAGGGGCGCAATATTACGGGGGTGGGTTCTTCATTTAAAATTCCCACCTCGTACCCTGCCTTTCCGCTTTGATGCCCTTCTAGGCTTCGATACAACGAGGGATTCTCAAGTTCTGCGATCCGAATAATGCTCACTTTGAAAGAGCAACCATATCCACGTAAAGAAACGTTGAAGTCCCGATATACCGATACCCGATAAGAAATACAGGTCGAATTTGGTAGCTGATTGTATGAAGTGACGAGCCCAATACGATAACAAAGGATTAATCATTTAAAATTGCAGTACCCGATGATTCGGTTCAACAAAGACACGGTATTTTAATTATTGATTGAGAGGTCAAAATCAAGAGCAGAATGCAATAACAAAGTACTAATCATTTAAAATTACAGTACTCGATGACTTAGTTTAACAGAGGCAAGGTATTTTAATTATTGGTCGAGGGGTCGAAACCCATTTCCCATTATCTTTTTACTACCATGTTGCATTTCCTGAACAGTGATACAAGGTTTTGTGAATCCAATATTCACTGGATATATGTAAAGTTTAATTTATTTCAATTTATTATATATTCGATATCTCGAGAGAGTTGGAAGTTAGAGACTTATGTCTGTACTCATATCTCATTTTTAACGCTAAATGACGTCTCTTATCTGTAGTTTCAAAATGGCTAAAAGACATCCATTGTTGCTAAAAGTGAGATATGTATACGAGTCTAGAGGACATAGATTTTATTTGAATACTAATTTAATTTATGTTTAATGTGATGTGCAGAAGTTATGTACTCAAGATCATCATTCAGGGCTATGTATTGTAAACGACACGGCAAGGGAATTCCATATTCTTATAGGAGCTACAATGCGGCAACATTCGGTTAAAGGAAACGGCACGGAACGGCTGATAACTTATCAGGCCCGGCCAGCCCGGGGAGAATATCGTGCCGTATCCGATCTGTGATTGGCACGCTTCGATGCCACGAAAAGGTTCACAATTGTGCCCGGAATCATTATTTACTTCTATTCAATAAAGATACTTATCATCGTAGCAACAATGGCGACAGAATATTGTGATGATTTTCTTTAAATAAGTGGCACGATTTATCCCAAAAATAACATTCAGGGATTATTGTATATTTATTTGCGACTTGAGTGATCATCTATTTTTATGACAAGATGACGATTGAGCTTTTTAATTATTCTTTTCCTGCAGATTATGATATTTAGCCCAGAAGTCGAGTTTTAGGAGTTTTAATTAATTTTTCATACAAGAAAAATTGTCATCTATCGAAGAATTGAAATTGCGGATTTTTCAACGTTTTCATTAATGAAATCAATGTATTTCGCTCTGGACGAGTATCGACCGTGCCTTTGTCGGAACGTTATCATGCTGATAAGCGAAGCAGAGCGCAACTGTGTCGTTTCGTTACTGATACACTAGTGAGACAATCAATTTCTAGAAGAAAGAATTTCTTGAGTTGAATGGATCTTTACTGGCTACTATCAATAAAATAAGATAAAGTAAAGTTACGGTAAATTATAAACAATATTTAATTTTCATAAACTCAGTTTCACCAAGACTGTTTAACTTAATATTGTTTCATTTTCTGTGCATAAGTGCGTTAGAAAGAAAAAATGATTCATTTCAAAGGACGAAAGACTAAAAGAATTAATCATATTCTCGTAATAAACTTTAACTTAATAAAATTATCAGTATGTTTGTTGTTTTTTCCTCAAACCTCTAATAGTATCCGTGAACTCGTTCTTGCATCAATACTAAACGATATTAATTTTTCATATCAAGTACTACGTTGGTGAAGTTTAATACAACGTTCTATCCAAAATGTGATATAATTGTCATTAATACTTTCAACGCTTGAGACCAATTTTGTACATAAAATTGTTTTCGCAAAATGATTTCCCCTTAATATTAACTTACCATCGATCGAGTTGCAAACATGATGATTTTTGTAATACGTACAATAATCGATAAACTCCGAAGAATTTTTAAGACTAATGGAAAACGCTTACATAATTACGGGGTGTAAGAATAAAGTATAATGGAAGAAGAAGAGATAGACTTTGGCAGGAGATGACACTTACGCTCATTTCCACGTGGGGATGATCGATGAAGATCATATCCGACTCTTCACCATCCAGTAGAATGGAAACTGTCTTTTCTCCGAATTCGTCATCTGAAAATCCCAAGAAAAGAAATTTTCATTCGTCAACATTCAAGCGAAACCTTTTTCATCTGCACTGCTAAAAATTGATATAAATTCCGTGCATTTCCAGCATACTAAGTAATATTAAAATTACAAACTCAGCGTGGTGATGTAAATTAGGATCCTGATAATTAATAATAATCCTGAATTTATGAACAAATTGTATGACGTGTTTTTGGAAATCTTTAAAATCAGCTTGTAAAATCAAACTTCCAGTACATTTTTCATCAATTCATCAATTTTTTCTCAACAATGTACTCGTACAGGAAATGACTTATCCTACAGTTTCATTTAAAGCAAATACAATTACCATAGCTGTCGTTTCTTTTCAATCGTTACAAAAGTACTCTTGTTTATATCAAAATGAATGTTTCTGGTAAAACTTGCAAACCGTTTTTCCTTTATGGGGATTTCGTTCTTTGGTACAATAAACGTCACCACTCACAGCGGGATTTTCGCAATAATGTTGGCTCCATTGGCACGGTCAGTGGGAAACATGAAATTCCCATTATCACGTGGCGTGCAACAATCTCTGCATGATAGTACAGAAAGCATCGTGTCGCGCCATGGGCGCAAGTCGAAAATGTATAATCGTTACGTACATACACCATGCCGAGAAACGTTCGGCATGGAGTACATGAATGTATGCATGGCGCTTCCGTTAATTTAATTATCAGCACATCGATCGATCATCGCCCTCCAATAGGAATTCCTTTTGTCGGGGAGTCCTTTGCATAAGTGCTCGTCCCGCCGGAAATTCGACGCATGCATTTTGATTTAGGCTCGATCATTTCGACATTGGCAAACTGCTGAAACATGCCAGAGGGTTTGCCCCCTACGGTATGTGAAATATTTTACCGTAGATGCTTTGTTGGAGAAAAGTATTATTTTTAACACGTGCGTCATAACATAACGTACCACAGGAATGTACCAATGCACCGTAAGAATGGTCTTTGCTCTACAGAATTTTCTCTTAGACCTGTGGATATATTTTAAATATTTATTTGGAATATTTTTGAGGCACCTCCTCTACTTTAGTATTTTATTTTCAAGAGGAAAGTTTTATTCCATCGATATCTTTACGTTGTTTAGCGAATTTGGTTTGTGAAATTCCACAAAATGTCTGAAATATCCACCCCAATTTATTCAACAAACAGCCATTAATATTCATGGGATATTCATGGCCAAACATGGATAATATTATCTCACATATTCATATTAATTTATCGCGTGGCCCGGTGTCCGAGCGGTGTGAATGTTATTATAAATTTATAAATAATATTACATACCGCGAAGACTCAATTTGGCTGTTTGCTCTACTTTGACATTTTTAGCAGGTTCGTTATCACGATCAAAGAATCATTCTAGTTAACTACGATACGGACCCATTAATTCGGATGCATATTTCAGGATCTCCGATTTCCTATGATTTAACGACGCGAGCGCCACTTTCGGAAAATAAGGGAACTCCAATCCTACATGGCCAAAACATTTCCTGCCGCCGTAAATGACCTAAAACGCTTTTAATCTTGCAATTAAGGTACGCAAAGCGAAACGATAATTCACGGATGAAATATAGAATATGATATTTTAACGCGATAAAGACTAGCGGACCCGATAGCAAACGATAATTTTGAATTGCAAGCTTTCATTGAAGAGGTGCTCTCGGCCCTAGATCGGACAAAATCTGAAAATGTTGGATCCGTAAAGTGGGGAGGATTTCAATACATGGCATTGTATCTCATACTACTTCGTGGTAAATACCATGAAGTAGTATAATGAGACATAACGCCAATGGTCGATTCCGACCCCAGAATCGAGATCCCTGATCTCCGATTTTTTATGATCTAACGACGCGAGCGTCACTTGCGAAAAATGAGGGAACTCCAATCCTACATGGTCAAAACATTTCCTGCCGCTGTAAATGACCTAAAATGCTTTTAATCTTGCAATTAAGGTACGCAAAGCGAAATGATAATCCACAGATGATATATAGAATGTGATATTTTAACGCGATAAAGACTAGCGGATTCGATAGCAGACCATAATTTTTAATTATAAACTTTCACCGAAAAGGCGCTCTCGACCCTAGATCAGGAGGGCACAAGAACCGTGCACTTGTCCGTAGACGCAGGCTGCGTGTACCAGGTGACCGAAGGATAAAATCACGCGGCAATATCCGCCATGGCGTCCCGTGGGATAAATTTCCTCCCCAGAGTAAGCGCGCGTCCCCATTGCGATAAATCCATCGACGGGCGCGCCTTCTCTTTTCACCGGCGATGAATGGATTCCATTCGCGCCGGAGTATCGAGCGAGGGATATCTCGAATGCGAGTCCGCGATGAAACGAGCTCGAACGACTTCGATGAAACGCTCCATTAGTGACATTCTTCCTTTCGGACCCGGATCCTCCCCCATTCAACCCTTTCCTGGCGAATCGGAGTCTTTCACCGATCACTTCGTGCCTTTTCGCGATCCCACGCGCTTTCAGGACCGCCGCGATCCTCCCTTTTTTCCCCCTCTTTCTTCGTAATGTACCGATAATGGATGGGTGGAGGTATTGATAGCTGCAGGAGGGGTCATGTCGCACCTCGACAGAAAAGGCCCGTGTCGTACTTCAAGCGATGCTTGTAAAACATGTCGCGAGGGACCTCTGCACGTGGAAGATGTCGCTTGCATGCAGTATAGAGCTCGCGATAATGCAAGGCGGATGCGTGTATGATCTTGGCGCGCTTTCTGATGCAAATCCGTCGCGGAGTTCATTCCTTGGGGGACATTGGACCAACTGAATATCTACCGGATTTCCTTTATTATTTATTTCTAAATATGCTTCGCGACGTCGACTGCATCCGTTATTTTGACACTTCTGCCATTGTTGAGATAAATTAATCATCTTATGCAGTGAAATGTAAAACGTCATACGTTCAAATTACTGAAATAGACGCTGAAATAGCTTAGAATTGTTAATATTTCGGAAAGTATATTATAGGGATGCTAAAGGTAAAATGTAGTAATGTCATATTATATCCAATTATTCATAATGTTATATTACGTCTCTCAAAGTTTCAGTTTAAAAAAAATAAAGATGAAGGAAAAGATGTGTGGTGCTTTTTTTAACCTTTTTCTTTTTTCCTCCTACTTTGCTTCATCGATAAGGTGTGACAAAAGTATGTAATTAAAAATTCTTCACCAAAGAATATTGATTTGAAGAAATCGTTAGGGTCGTTTTATAAAATTAAATCAAATGTGGCTATTTCGCTGATTGTTATGTTTCTCTGACACGATTGTAAAGATCTCTAGGTGATTCCGTTCTTCGCAAATACCGGCTCCAATAATCAAAAGAATCCATCCGTGCACTAAAAAAGCGACCATTGAGCCGTCGTTATTGTCCCTTTTCTCCTTTATAAGCCTGTCACCTGCAAGCTTCCATTATGCAAGTCGCACTTCTTACGTAGTTACACGGCCCGGTCGTTACTCGTAAAAAATGCGAAAAATGAGAACCCCGACAACGAATAGTGGTATTGTTCGAGCCCAAAGATTAAACCTTTGTGTAGGTTTCCAAGGCTTCCATCTTGGAAGAATGAAGCTACCAACGTATGCGTTCCATGTACGAGCAATTTACGTGTACAATATGAGAACTTCCTCATAGATATTGCCAAGAGTTACGTAATAATATCGAAAATATATACACTTTATAAAAAATAATTACATTTACACAGTAATTAAAATTACCACGTCGATAAAATCGCCAAAAGTATTTCCACGTACCACAATGTTGGTAAAACTTGCATATCTACTTGAACCATTGATTATTATACCATTTTTACGGATGTATTTAACCTTTGAAATATATTAAACTTTTATATGGGTTCGCAAGGTAGAAACACCTTGCAATAATTATGCTACCGACGTATTCCTCCCACTTATGAACAATTTATGTGTACGAGCAGGGTACCTCCTCGTGAAAATTACCACGAAACACGCAATAACATAAAAAATCCTCACATTTTTGTAAAAACAATTACATTCGCAAAGGATTATTTTAAAATTACTACATTTGTACAATTATGAAATCTATTGATTGATACCATATTTATAGCAAAAGTGACATAACTATTTAAAGCAGTATCGATCTTCCACTTTTTTAAAAAAGGTGCTTGAATCAGTCGAAATATGTCGGTAATTAGTTAACATCTTTTTGAAATTTTAATAAAATATTATTACGGATGACTTTCATTCCAATGTATTTCGAAGGGCACATATATGACGCATACGTGTTAAACAGTTGCACAAGCACACATGTACAACTGAAATACATAGTCCAAAAGAGAGGGAGAAAGTACATGTGCATATATTAAAATAAATGCATACCTCGGACCAGAAATATAGAAATTCGTGGTCCATGGGGGCCGACACTCATCAGTGCACTAACTGCACTTGAAAAGCTCTGAACTTTATAGAGAAGTCGCTGTAAAGCGGTAAAGGCTGCCTCTCTTGATAAAAGCACAAAACGAAGAACACAGGTTCCCCCCCTCCTCAACTCGCGCGCAACTTGGCATTTTTATATTTATTTTTATTTCCGTTTTATATTTTGTCAAAGCCATGAAAGAGAAAGCACGAATGGGCGAAGCGAGCTTGTTATCGACGTCTACGTTTCAATTAAAGGAAGGAAATTTTTGGCTTAAAGGAATACCAAAAGGAGGAAAAAAATTAACGTTAAGCAGAGCTTTTCGCATTGGTTCGAGGAAGATCTTCGTTAAGGGTCAGAAAAGTAATCTCGGCATTTAATGAGAATTAAGGTGAAAGTAGCCAGGTAAATGATGAGCGCTTGCAAGTGGCCTGCAATTTTTGGAAAATAAATCAACTTCTCTTTTTCTGCTGACTTTTTAGAGTAAATGGCAAGATTTTATCGCACCGGTTCAATTAAAATTCCTTTAAAAATAATTTCGTTAACACGCCGTGCAAACAATGTTCGGGGCAGAAATGTCTAGTTTACTCAGGTGTTTATAAACGGATTTTACAAAACTTTTATGACGTCCGCACATGTGAAACGAACTTCAGGTGATTAAAGCGAGCATGGCGAGCTTGCGTTCGCTCGCAGCCGTAACCAAGAAAATAAAAAGCAAAGGAACGAGGCTTTCTTTAAGCTTCCCTTATACTGTTTCGCTTGGTTAATTACCCGTTTTCTTTTTCCCGAATTAACGCGACCATTAAACGAGGACGAAGATGAATGCTCCGCCTGCAGTATATATACAGACTTTTATTTTCACAACTTCTTACGATGCTTATACAAAAAGGTTCAATATATCAATTTTCACCTGCAAGCTTTTCCGTAAAAAGTCTGACAAGTCAAACGACTCAAAATGGATGTCACGTCAAAGAACGATCTCACTTTCTTGCCAGTTTATAAAATTGAAATAATGAATCGGAAAAGACGTAATTTGAATAAAAATGTCCATACAAATTGCAACAAAAAACGGACTGGATCGCGGTTCATCCATCATTTATGCATACAAGTCGAAAAAAGGGAGTGTAAATGATGTCCCATTACCATTGGTGGGCCTAAAAAGTATCCCTAATGTATCATGAAAATGTTATTTATGCAACGATTTTTCATTGCTTTATCCCCAATTTTCTTATACCTACATATTATATGTACACCACTTCGTATATTTTAGAGTAATGCCTCTTGTCTGTATAATACGACCATTACTCAGTTTGCTATTTTTTAATTTATTTATCCAGTAACATATGTATTAACTCATTTAGTCACTTATTAAAAGTCTTCCTGACTAATGAAACAATCATTTCTTTCATCAACTCGTTCAGAAAATTTACGAATTTCAGCAAGTGTCAAAATATACAAGCGATTCTGTTTATAGGCATACGTTGATAAAATATGGATTTTAAATCCTTCTTATTGTTGTCCACACGAATTATTATTTTCCTTTGCGTGATCATTTTCAGTTAACCTATTGATGGTCGTGATCGAACCAATGACGACCTTCTCGATTGAGTGCAATACAGCTAATTGCATTTCGCGGTATTTCTGCGATAATCAGTGGTAATTTGCGGGTGAGAGTTGATTTTCAAGTCTGTTATGTACATTGGGAACTGATTGCTGGATTGTTTCCTCTCACAGCTTAACCTTGCGTTATGATAACAGTAAACGTAGCATTTATTTCCCTCCGAAATTGTTTACGATACCCCAAGACCATGTCTGTACTGATATTGTAAAAACGACTTTGATTTCATATGATAGACAAGAATACGATTCGGTAACAAATGACGTTCGGCCTTAAAATGATGACAGTATTTCGGTGATTACCAACGATTTCCACCCGATTTTCACATTTCCCGATTTTGCGCGTTAAAATCCATGATTATCCGAATGAACATTCCCTCGCGATGTATACATAAATGAATTGTAATAACGTCTTCCGATTTCTCTGTTTGAAGAATTATTTCAAAGCGCAGACAAAATCAGTCCATCGCCGCGAATTGTTAAATTGAAGTTAAACACTTTGGGTCGATTCGAGAAAAAAAAGAAAAAAGATGGGAAAAAAAAGAGAAAAAAACAGAAAAGTACAGCGATTGGTTGGAAATCAAGAAAAGTGCGAACTATGAACGCAAGGAGAAGTTTGTTATCTCTCTAAGAAAGAGAAATAAGAAAGCCACAATTTACAGCCCGTCAAGAACTTTTGTATCCAGTAGCTTCAAGGATTGTACATATACATATATATATATTTACCTAAGCTCGCGTCGTACGTGTTCATGTATTCGCTGGTCATGAATTGCGAAACTAAGGCGGTCTTCCCAACTCCGGAATCACCAAGTAGGACGACTCTGTACTTTGGGATTTCTTCGGCATCGCTTTCCGTACTTTCCACGGCTCCACCTTGGCCGCTGCAGCAAGAACCATCGAAAGGGGATCTCTCCCCGGATACGTTGCTATTTCTGAAAAACGAATAGCAAATACATTAGGATCGTGCCGTCAAAAATGTCAAATACATTTCCGCTTCCGGAATGTCAATTAATTCTGTAATCTCGTTTCCGTCGCGCGATAGACCGATATAAGTTCTGGTATAAGTTCTGGGGATCTCACTCATAACCATCTAATTTTAAATACAAATCCAATGCACTGTGATGACTGTAACAGCCAAATAACATAATCAACACATAATCTCTGAATGTAAAAAATATCAAATGGCAAAACAAGGCTTCAAAATATCTAACTCAATTACCAAAGCTCTCGGTGACAAGAAGTTAACAAAACACTAATGTTCTTAAAAGAGACATTAACCTCCTACGTGAATTGTAAAACTTGATTACAAGTATTTACTCATACGTTGATAAGAGTCTTCAACTATAAATGTACTCAATTCTTTAAACAGAATTTTTTCATTGATAGATAACATTCTTCCATAATAATTGTCACAAAGCGAAATTTTACGAGTTTTAGCAAAATCATCTTTACAAAACACAGTTTTCTGAGGGTTAGGTATATTTCATTAAGCGACTGCCAACCAACGTTGTCGTGTGTCATATCAGTTTTAAAAATTTGACAACGAATTCAACCTGCCCTGGTCTATCTTTAATAGGAAAGAACCTCGTTTTAATTTATTCAATTCTTTGCGAGAACATTACGAAACTTACCGTTAAAATTCTTCCCTGAAGGAATTGACAACTTTCCCTGAGAGTTTTGTATAATTTTCTTTCAATCTCCTTTTTAATGGTTTTGTCGCCTTTGCGAGGTGTCTAATGAGTATATAAAGGAAGAGGGCAGGAGAAATAAAAATGTTGGGAAATTCAAAAGAGCTTGCGAACTAAAGGGTGATGAAGGAGAAGATTGATTTTTATGTAGTATTGCAAGACTCGTTATATTTTTCTTAAGGATTCTTTAATGGTTTCATCATGGATGTTTATAAGGTACAGAAAGAAAAAGGGCAGACTAAATAAAAATTCAGGAACACTCAAAAGAGCTTGCAAAGGCGGGGGAGATATAAAGGAAGATCCCTAAGATTGCTTTGATTGTATCAGTAGCATTACGAAACTTATCGTTGGAATTTTTTTTTCTTAGAAAACCCTCGCAACTTTCTTTGATTTCCATTTTTTGTATTTCTGACCTCCTCGCGGAGCAGTCAAGATCATCTAGACCTTGAAGAAGGTCCTTAGAACACTCCTAGGTCCTAAAGAGCATCGATGAAATCTGATTTCCTTATCAGAAATTGAAAAAGTGTCCGTAAATAAATGAAAAAACTTTGAAAGATTTGGTACACCCAGTTCGGAGGAAAGTTTCGTAAACTATTGACCCCTCGGATATCACTTTCAGATCGCCTTAATGGACAAATCTAAAAGAAAAGAGGGGGATGAAATAAAAATGCTGGAAAATTCAGAGGAGTTTGCCGATAGAGGGAATATACAAAGATCTTTATAATCGGTTTGATTCTTTGAGTGGCATCGCAAAAGTCACCACCAGAACCCTTTTCTAAGGACTTTATTGGCCCGTAAAGTTTCCTCGCGAGTTTTGTTCCACTTTGTCCGATTCCCTTTTTAATGGTTCCGTCGCCCTCGCGGGGCGTTTAATGGGTACAGAAGGAAAGAGGGCGAGAGAAATAAAAATGGCGGAAAATTCGGAGGAGGTCGCGGAGGGGGATATTGCGGGGCGCGTTATAAGCTCGAGCTTTTGAGGGATGGGATGACGGGCTTCTGGTAAGCCCATCCTATAGGAGCTTCCCTCACAAATTATAATTAATACTAAAGCGCTTTAGCTTCCCTTCCTTTCGGGCAGCCTCGAGTAACTTCGTGGTCTGGCGAAATCCGATGCCAATTACAACGAATTTCGCGATCTCTGACAAATCTAGGGGAAAGAACGACGATAAAAGGTTTCCCGTTTTCGTATAGCATTTTCCTACGTAATCCCGTGATCCCTTTCAAGCAATTGGTGGTATCGAAGATAGATTAATACTTTGTGAAATTATTCGCGATGAAATTCAACCGTCAATATTAATTCTATAGGGTCATTCTATATACACTTTTAGTACATGAGGTTGTAGGAGAATTATACATTTAATGTCCTAAAAGGGAATTAATATACACTTATTACAAATCTCGAAATGAACTTGCAATTTGATGACATCGTGTTCAAAAACTTCTTGAAATTGCGTCGAAAAATGAATACACTTATGTACTAAATTTATGACACATTTTATAAATTCGTTGCACATGTATACAATTAGTATACCATGTATGAATAAAACCTCCAACGAAAATATTATAAAATTATAATATCTTTTTTAACAGAGTATATTAATACGTCAAAATGCATGCATTTATAAATATAAAACTTTTTGTCCAAGTCGGATGCACCGAATCATTTGAAACTTCACCACGTGGTTATGGAGACCTTAAGGAAGAACGTGACGCTCCTGAAATTTCATACAAAAAAAAAACAAATGTATTCATGGTTCTAGTCTGGGATTAATAACAACATTTTTTTGAAACATGAAATTTCACGAGCATCGCGTTTTTCCTTGGGGCCTTCATAATCATATGTTAAAGTTTTCATGGATTCGGTGCATCCAGTTTGGAAAAAAGCTTTATAAATATTTTGACGTTTCAATGTATATAGAATGACCCTTTCATAACACCTTAATTCGCCAAAAATGCATTTTCTAGGCCAATTCGATTGTAGTGCGATCCCCGGAATGCCAATTACAGTGGATTTTCTGTGATTGTGTGTGTTGTATGAGCTACCCTGCCAAATTTCCTGCAATTTACCGAGATGGCACAAATCCACTTTACTTGCATGCCTTGTCCACCTGCCAAGAAAAATAACGTCCGGCAAGTGCGTACACGTGCACACAATGCACATGCAGTTCCCTGGACTTATTATTGGCCCTGGACTTATACTATATATTAACTCTGCTTTTTCGTGCTAACTTCGCGAAGTATGTGGGGCAAATATCTTGCTCGGCTATTTCCAAATGTTTTCGTTCGCGTCTTATAGCGTTAAAATGAATGCTTTGTATGTGTGGGAGTTACTCCGAGTTCCATGCCTCTACATGTATTTCCATATATATATTAATTTCTGAAAGGCATTTAGAAATGCATGGGACATTCATTACAAATCCGGGAAATGCAAAGGTACATGTCTGAACGCCTGGATATTTATAGAGCCGTATTTATCAAAATTTCTGCACTTCCACTAAATTTCGTATTTGGCAAACTAATGGATATCTAATTTCATATTTAGACTCGTGATTGTACCCGGTGATTCCCTTGGAACGTTCATAAATGTCAATTTAATCATTTGCTACGTCACATTCCGCCATGTTTTAGTCAAGATAGTGTTCTACTCGGGTAGCATTAATTTATTAAATTTCAGCCAGTGATTAAAACAATATATCCTACTCAATTCCATTTATAAAGAAGTGTCGAACTGTTTTTGGGGGTCAACATTGGGAGTGTTTTTGACCCCTTAAGGTGATACGAAAGCGTGATATATACATACCAAAAAGTGAAAATATTGATAAAACTTTTCTCCAAACTGGGCGCACCAAATTATCAAAAACGTTTAACACGTTATTAAGGAGGCTCTAAGGAAGAACGCGCTGGTCGTGAGATTTGATTTTTCGAAAGAAATGTTGCATTTACCTCGGATATGAACCGAAAAAAGATATTTTTTTCTCGAAAATTGAAATTTCACGGGCAGCGCGTTCTTCCTTAGAGCCTTCATAATCACGTGTTAAGGTTTCAGATAATTCGGTGCACCCAGTTTCGAGAAAAGTTTTAAAGATGTTTTGACTTTTTGGTTCGTATATATCACACTTTCATATCACCTTAAACTCGGGAATTAGCAGATAGAAAAAACATGTGTATGTTTTAATGTACCGCGACGTATGTCAGAATGAAGAAAATCGGTGATGTACACCCGGGATACTTTTCTTTTGAATCGGAGTGAAGTGTCTCAGTCCGAATCCTCGGATCATAGGTTCCTCTCCGCTATCGAGCTTCGTATCGTGTGACAATATTTACGAAAAGGAAAGTGCTAGGGTGCGGAAAACTCGGGAATATTCGATCCCCCCGACGGATCCGAGAAAATGGGGCTGGCAATATAAAGGCAGGGTGGAGAATTTACGATGTCATGACACTGTGTATTCGGCTGGATTCGCCGAATCCCTGATAACGCGACATCAGGAGAAGAATTTAGACCTCAGGTCTTACAAACATGTTCAGTACGTGCTCGTGGGTACGGGTTACCGAGTCTCTGCTACAAAATGTGGGAGAATTTTATTACCGAGCTTTCAGAAATATATTTAGCACACGCTTCTGGGAAGGTGAAAATGGAAAATAGTTTTTGCACTGTGTGGGATAATTATTTCTATGCTTCAAAAATACATTTAGTACACGGTGATAGGGATGGGCCATTCAGCTTTTATTATAGAACTGGGGATAATTTTCTTTGCAAATTTCATGAACATGTCTAATCCACCCAGGTAAGGGTAAATTACCTAATTTTTCCTGGGAAATGTGGAATAATTTCTTTTCGGATTTTATAAACATTTCTACTGCAAAATGTGAGAGAATTTTATTTCCGAGCTTTCAGAAATATATTTAGCACACGCCTCTGGGAAGGTGAAAATGGGAAATAGTTGTTGCACTGTGTGGGATAATTATTTCTATGCTTCAAAAATACACTTAGTACACGGTGATAGGGATGGGTCATTCAGTTTTTATTACAAAACTGGGGATAATTTTCTTTGCAAATTTCATGAACAAGTCCAATCCACCCGGGTAAGGGTAAATTACCTAATTTTTCCTGGGAAATGTGGAATAATTTCTTTTCGGATTTTATAAACATTTCTACTGCAAAATGTGAGAGAATTTTATTTCCGAGCTTTCAGAAATATATTTAGCACACGCTTCTGGGAAGGTGAAAATGGGAAATAGTTATT